ATCGACGTCTCCATCAAAAATGATCCACTGTCTCTTATTAATCTCACCACAAACATTATCAATAATCCTATTAATAAATACATAATTAATACACAATCAATTAATAAATAATAAATAAATAAATAAATGATAAATATATAATAAATAAATAAATAATTAATCAATAATAATAGACCATGTGATAGTCATGTGATGTGTGTGTCTCCAAGCATCCAGTAACATCATTCATTGGCTCATGTCACTGGATAGAAGCACATTAATTAATTAATAATTATTGGTGCTTGCTACGGGAACGACAACTGGGCACTAACACAAGACCAGCTGTAACTTTAAGCCACAAAAAAGATTAAAAAAATAACATTTACTAGAAAGCATCATTCTCAGTGTATTATAATGTACAATACACAACACGAGTAAAAATATAACACGATATAGATGTACATGTACATGTATGTGTGTCTGAGCTGAGTTAAAAATTGACAAGTAATAAATATTGTATATTATGTAGAACACATGTACACCTGGTGTTTATTTGCATCCAGCTTTTACTTGAGGATATACAGTATGTACAAATACATGCATGTACTTGTAGCATTTTGAACAACTTTAAAAATTCGTGTACAAGTACGTGTATACAGTATTTAGTTTAAAAACTGTGTATTTTGAAGCTTTTTCTCTCTTCCTTCATTTCTTACATACCATAGGGTGCTTTTTTAGAGCTGTAAATTTTACAGATTTCACGATTTTTCAAAAATTACTTCCGCAAAAATCTGTATGTCCCTGGATATATCTGTATGTTGCTGTATCCTGTCCCTCTTGATATTACCAGCACTCACCATAGGGCTCTCAGACCAAAGTCATAATGAGACTGGTTGGATAGCTGTTTATCACACAATCTGTAGAGAGAGAGCAAGAAAGAGAAAGAGGAAGATTATGTAACATGTACATTATTGCACGACTGCATGATATAGAAACTACATGTACATGTAGCTGTAAAAAGCTAACATACATGTACATGTATGTCCATGTACATGTACAGTACATTCAAATATAATCATTTTAGTCCTCAGACAAATGCCTTGTTATTCATGTTATGTATTCATGTATTATTACCTGGTTCAGCTAGTTCAAGTGCTTCCTTAGCTTATAAAATATTATCCCTTTCCTCCTTCAACCGACTGAACCAACCATCATATATAGTAAGCACTGTCATGGCAGTATCCGGGCAGAGCTCACCCTAGCAACCAAAAATCAAACAATCAATAACAAACGAGAGTATACATGTACATGTACATGTACATGTATATGTACGTGCACATGTACTGTAGTAATCAGAGAATTGTGGTAAATACATGTAAATATCACAGTATCTTATATCAGTCACTGAATTCTCATCATTTTACTAATGATGTAATGTACATGTATACAATGTA